CTCTCTCTCTCTCTCTCTCTCTCTCTCTCTCTCCCTCCCTCCCTCCCTCCCCCCCACACCCCGGCATGGACACATGCCTTTCACCCAGTGCGGTGACCGTCGCTATGACCCGTCATGGTTTCATTGGTGTCCTTTGTATCTCCCCAGACTTCACCTTGTGGCCTGCACGCTCAACCAGATGTTCCGGGCTCTGCTCACCAACAGCAAGATGGACTATTTGCAGAACCTGCTCAGTAAGTGCTTGCTTCTGCCCCCCCCCCCCTGTCTTATAAACGTACACCATCTGTGTTTTCCCTGTCTATGCAATGATTTGTTTTGTGTCTGTCTACATAAACGTTTGTCTGGCTGTCTTACCATGTCTCTGTCTGTCTGTGTGTCTAACCATTTGTCTGTCTGTGTGTGTATAACCATGTCTCTGTCTGTCTGTGTGTGTATAGCCATGTCTCTGTCTGTCTGTGTGTCTAACCATTTGTCTGCCTGTGTGTGTATAACCATGTGTCTGTGTCTTTGTATGTATAACGATCTGTCTGTGTATGTATAACCATGTGTCTGTGTCTTTGTATGTATAGCGATCTGTCTGTGTGTGTACAGAATGCCTGAGCCTGGTGACCCAGCAACACGTTGTGTTTGTCCTGTTGATCCGCTACTACCTGTCTGTCTGTGTGTCTATGTGTCTGTCTGTCTGTCTGTGTGTCTAACCATGTGTCTGTCTGTGTGTTCACAGAGTGCCTGAGCCTGGTGACCCAGCTACGAGACTTGTTCGTTCTGTTGATCCGCTACTACCTGTCCTCGGAGCAGACGGCTGTGTACCTGCGTGACCTAGTTCAGACCAACCACGTACTCATGCTGATGGTGGAGGAGTGGCTAGCTCACGGCTACTTGGGCGAGCACTGTGGCTTCAGCATGTTGGAGCATGTCAAACAGTGAGTATGGGTGGTTGGCGGATTCTCTAGTGTGGTTTGCTTCTTCTTTCCTATCAAACATTTATCGTCCTTATCTCCCCTTCTTCTTTTTTGTGTTTGTTACTCTCTTGTAACACCTCTAATCTTCTGGTGCTCATATGACCTTATGCAGTTGCGAGCGCTGTAAAACCTTTACTAAAACTAAAAACAGTGAGTGGTGTGGG